ATATATATATATATATATATATATATATATATATATGGGTGTGTGTGTGTGTGCGTATATATATATATATATATATATATATATATATATATATATATATATATATATATATATATATATAGATATAGATATAGATATATAGATATATAGATATACATATAAATACATATATATATATATATATATATATATATATATATATATATATATATATATATATATATACATATATATACATATATATACATATATATACATATATATATATATATATATATATATATATATATATATATATATATATATATATATATATATATGTATAAATACACATATATGAGCATGCGTGTGTTCATATTTGCGTGAGAGTGCGAGTGCGTGCGTGCGTGCGCGAGGGCCGGGAAGGTCGTAAAAATGCCTTCCTTTCTCCGTGGCGAGGGCTTGGCTTGACCTCCGATCCTCCTTAGGTGCCAGCGATGATTATCTCTTCATTAATTTCGTTGTAGGCACGGATGAGGTAATGATATAACCCACTTTACTGCTTGCTCCTCATCATGTACAAATCATACTTGATTATCATTACATGCTCTATAGCGACATTTATTGTGAATTATAAGACCGGTCATCAGGCAGGGGAGGGGGTGGGGGGTCGAATATAAAGTATCAACCTGCGTGTGATTTTTTTTTATTCGTCAATAATTTTTGTTAGGAATTTTGAACTCTATTTTCCCTTCCTCTCCAACAAAATGTAGTTTACGAGACTGACAAGAAGTCCAAAAAAGTAAAAGTAATTATGCTACCACATTTAGCCATGTACAGAAAAAAGGGCTATTAAAGCAATCTTGATATCGAAAAACACCGCCAACCACACCTTGATCCCGAGAAAGGTGACAAAACTGATTAATTAGTCGATCAAAAGGCAAAATGTTGCCCCTAGAAAACAAGCGCATAAATCAGCTGATATTAAATGCCCCCGTTTCTGGGATATGACACCCGCGGCTCCGCCCTCCGCCGCCGACAGGCAGGTCCTCTCCTTAGCAGCCATTAGCGCCAGAATCTTGTCCCTCTCGCTGCGGAGGCGTCGGGCTCATCAGCCGCCCCGCCGACCACCGTAGCGACGCAGACGGCGCAGCGGCCCCGCCTTCGCCGCCCTCCTGTCTCCTGTAAAAAGCACTTGCGCGAGGCCCGTCCGGGCGCCGTATCGGCCGCCATCTCCCCGGGCGAAGGGCGCGCGAGGGAGGACCCGTGTAAGTGGCATCGCTGGGCCCTGATAGCCGGGGAACAAGACGCTTAACTATCGTCACCTCGAGTCGCGGCGGTGTTAATACTGTCAGCGGGCCTTCGGCGCTGACATAAAACCTTGGCGTTCGGCCCGGCTCCCGATTGCCATCGCCGACCTCAATGGCAGCTGATTGCGACTTCCACGCGAGGTCTCGAAGCGAGTTTTATCGACCACCTGCTCCGCCGGGCTTACGGGGGCGACGGATGCGACCGAGGGCGATTGGACTCCATCACTCACCCGCGCGTCGGCCAAGAGGCGTCCCCAGCAGGGCCCCGGGAGCTCATTACTGGAGGAGGCGAGGAGAGGAGGCGGGGGCGAGGAGGAAGAGGAGGCGAGGGGGAAGAAGAGCAGGCGAGGAGGAGGAGGCTAAGAGGAAGAGTAGTCCAGGAGGAGGAGGAGGCTAAGAGGAAGAGTAGTCCAGGAGGAGGAGGAGGCTAAGAGGAAGAGTAGTCCAGGAGGAGGAGGAGGCTAAGAGGGAGAGTGGGCCAAGAGGAGGAGGAGGCAGGAGGAGGAGGAGGCTAAGAAGAGGCGGAGGCGGTCACCAAGATGGGGCAATGCGAGCTCGAGCTGTGTACAGGCGATGAAACCAAGCTTGAAGAGGTCTTTCGTCCGGGTTTATGAGGAGTTCGACGACGCCAGCGGCCCCGTAACTCTGCCTCGTGACGCTAATGCCTTCGGGGAGATAAAGAGACGCTTTCGTACTCCCTTTGACGCTGACGGAGGGAGGCTGACGAAAGCGGGAGGGTGGGTGGAGGAGTTAGAGGGAAGGTGGAGAGTGGGAGGGAGGGTGGAAGAGCAGGAAGGAGAGTGGAAGAATAAGAAGCCGAGTGGAAGAGTGGGAGGAGAGGTGGAGGCGTGGGAAGGAGGGTGGAGGAGCAAGAGGGAAAAATGAGCAGCAGGGTGGAAGAGTGGGAGGAAGGGTGGAAGAATGAGACTGGAGGTGGGAGAAGGAGCGGGCGGGAGGGACGAGATCCGGACCCGACCCGACGAGGCCTGTGGCTTTAAGAGCGCCACGGATGTTGTACGACACGTCGCTTATCGAACCGCCTTAATTATATCAATTATGGCACGGCCTCGACCCGCCGCCCGAACGAGAAAATCTGGTCAGGAGCGATCACTGCGCTGATGGCTATTTTGGGGACGGATTCCTGCGTGCCGAGGGGGGAGGGCAAAGGGGAAGGGGGGGGGCAAAGGGGAAGGGGGGGAAGGGCAAAGGGGAAGGGGGAGGGGGAGGGGGAGAAGGGAAGGGAAAGAGGGAAGGGGAAGGAGAAGGGGAAGGGGAAGGGTTAGGGGTAGGGGTGAGGGAAAGTGAGAAAGAGAGAGAGAGGGAGAGAAAGTTAGAGGGAAAGAGAGAGAGTGAGAGAGAGAAAAAGTGAGAGAGAGAGAGAGAGAGAGAGAGAGAGAGAGAGAGAGAGAGAGATGCAGTCAGAAAGGCAAACAAACAGACAGACAGACAGAGACAGAAATGCAGACAAAAGACAGACAGACAGACAGTCACAGAAACAGGTAAATGCAAATGTTAAAGCACATTGATGATCATAAAACACAATTTGCCCAAAGAGGAGCGCCGTTTAAGGGACTGTCATAAAAGGACACCCTTGTGTGTCTGAACATCGGGCAAAACAGGGAAGGAGGAAAGGACGAAGAAGAAGAAGAAGAAGAAGAAGAAGAAGAAGAAGAAGAAAAGTAGAAGAAGAAGAAGAAGAAAAAGAAGAAAAAGAAGAAGAAGAAGAAGAAGAAGAAGAAGAAGAAGAAGAAGAAGAAGAAGAGGAAGAAGAAGAAGAAGAAGAAGAAGAAGAAGAAGAAGAAGGAGAAGAAAAAGAAGAAGAAGAAGAAGGAGAAGGAGAATAATAATAATAATAATAATAATAATAACAATAATAATAAGAAGTAAAAGAAGAAGAAGAAGAGGAGGAGGAGAAGAAGAAAAAGAAGAGGAAGGAGGAGAAGAAGAAGAAGAAGACAGAGAAAAATCTGGACAGCAGAACATATTGATCAACAAATCCCAACGAACTTTCTCCAGATACACCTCCTCTCCTTGAAGAGCTCAATGCGATCTTCTCCTTTCTTCCCTCTCTTCCTTTCTAGCTTCACTCCCTCCCTGCCTCTCTACCTCCCCCCCTCCCTACTTACCTCTCCACCCTTCCTCCTTCCCACCCTCCTTACCTCTCGACATTCCCTCTCTCCCTCCCTCCCTGCCTCTCCACCCTCCCTCCCTCCTTCCATCCTTCTCCACCCTTCCTCCTTTCCTCCCTTCCTGACTTTCTACCTTCCTCCCTTCCTACCTACCTACCTCTTCACTCTCCCTCCTTCCCTCCCTCCCTGCCTGTCCACTCTCCCTCCCTCCCT